TTCAAGATTATTAGAAATTTGCAAAAGATTTAATTAATAAAGTTTAAATAAAAAAAACTATAATTTAAATAAACATAAGATAAAATACCTATTTTTCAAACGCAAATTGTAATGCACATAGACAAGATCATTTAATCTTTGATGCTCCAATCTATTTCTTTTCTTGGTGTGTATCCTTTCAAAAACACTCCAATTTCTTTCACAACCCGAAAATGATGAAGTTTGGCTCAAAAGTTTAATAGCCAAATTTTTAAGAGTTGGAGCACTATATCCAAAATATTTCCACCATTCATCTATTTAAGAAGATAAGAAATATATAAAATGTTAGAAAATTTATAATTAAAAATATTTTTCATAAAAAAAAGTATTAAAATTATAAATTTAAACTTGTAATCTTACCGGGTTTCATATTTTTTGAAGATTCAAGTGCACTTGAACGAGCAAAGCTCTCCAATCTCTTCTCATATAACTCACATTCATTCCAAAATTTTGTCTTTTGAGAAGAAATTTTTGCATCCACAACATCCATAAACCCTTTCATCACTTCTTGCTTGGCACAAAAATGCTCTTTATCATAAAAGAAAGAAGGATTCAAGTAATAGGCAGCAGCATGGATACTTTGACGAAGTTGTCTATCCCATCTTTCCTTGATAATTTTTGTATAAGGCTTGTGTAAAGACTTTTTATTCATCAACATAGTCTTAATAGCCTTTCTGGCCCTATACATGCCATCATAGACATAACCAAGAGAAGGCCTTTCATCACCATCAACAATTCTAAGCAGACGCATAAGTGGTGCCACAACTTTCACAACAAGTTGACAATTACTCCAAAATTTATTATCTAAGACAACAGCAATAACATCTTTCGCCTTCGAATCTTTGTAGTATCTAGACTCTTTAAATTCCAAACTAGTAACCAATGCTTGCAAATCATGCTTGTGATCAAGAATACTTTTTAATGCAATGAATGTAGTAGCAAACCGTGTTGGCCCTGGACGAAAAAAATGGGTCAATTGCAAAAAGGAGGTGCAGCTCGGCGGGTGAATTGGGTGGAATGGGCCAAGCGGGTTGAACGGGTCAACTGGGTTGAAGCGGGTCAAATAGAAAAACGGGTTGATGGATGCACTCGGCCCGTTTTTAAGCCCGAGTCCGGTTCAACCGGTTCAACCGGCCAGGCCAGGCCAGGTCCAAAAACAATGATTGTAAGGGTAAAGAGTCCTCTGTGGAGCTTAATGTAGAGAAATAAATAATTCGAAAAGAGAAAAAGGGATTTCCATCAATAAATAAA